CACCTAGTACCAGATCAATGCTAAACACAACATCACGCATAGGTGACAATCCCGACACATCATCTAGGAACACCTCAAGAAACTCACTGACAATCTCAATTCCAGTGATGGCCCTCTCCGTTTCAACACTCAAGGAGGCAAACAACATGAAGCACTCAGCTCCATCTCTCATCAACTACTTAGCCTGACCCACTGACAACACCACCCAATCCTCCAACTGAGGAAGTACCAAATCTCTTCGAGCATAATCTATAAGAATGTGATGGGCAGATAACCAATCCATCCCTAAGATTATGTCAATATCCACCATGGGTAACACAATCAGGTTCACTCGGAACCTCCTACCAAACACCTCTATCGGGCATCTCACACACATCTCCAACGTCACCATAGAAGCTGAAGCTGGAGTAGACACAGATAAATCAACATGCAATGAAAATACTGACAAACCAAATCTCCCTACACAATCAACAGAAATAAAAGAATTTGTGGCACCAGAATAAAACAAAAATAAAACATCCTCACCTGCTGCCTTCCTTTTCCCCTTCACCAAGTCTGATGAAGTGGAAGCCTCTGCACCTGACAAGGCAAACACTCTCCCTGTAGCTGTAGGCGTGGGTGGCCTCGGGGCACTCCCAAATGAAGTCAGCGGTGTCTAACAATCTCTAGAGATGTGGCCTGGCCTACCACATCTGAAGCAAACATTCCCCGGATGGGAACAATCTCTGCCCACATGTGCTCCTCCACATCTGTAGCACCGCACCGACTGTGCTCCACCCTGAAATTAGAAAATGAAAAATGAGTTTTAGAGAGTGCAAAACGTTTTATTTATAGGCATCAGGCCGCGACCAGAACTGCCTGTTCCGAATCCGGAACGGCCAGTTCTGAGCCCGTAGAATACGTACAAAAGCCTCTCCAACAACGGCCCGTTCCAAAACCAGAACGGTCCGTTCTGGGCTTTTCGGAACGGCCCGTTTCTAGGTGGAACGACCCGTTCTGAGCACATAGAACATGTACAAAAATCTCTCCCAGAACGGCCCGTTCCAAATCAAGAACGGTCCGTTCTGAGTCAAGACTTTGTCCTTTAAAAACACATCCGGAAACGGCCCGTTCCCAAAGTGGAATGGCCCGTTCTGGGTTAAAATTTTACCCACGCATGCCTGATGTGGAACGGCCCGAGATAGACTTGTGCAGTCTCAAAGAGTAGCTGTTAGTAAGGGACCTCGCCCAACTACTCCTCAGGGTGGAGCACAGTCGGTGCGGTGCTACAGATGTGGAGGAGCACATGTGGGCAGAGATTGTTCCCATCCGGGGAATGTTTGCTTAAGTCCTTAGCTAGTGTTGGAGCGGGGTATGAGGTCGAGGGTTATTCCCTTAACCAAGTACTCGAGAAGGTGCATGGATCCTTGCGGATAGTCGGTGGGCGAACTCCACAATTGACTTGGTTAATGCATGCCAAGGTCGTGGTAAGCCCGTAGCCAACTGTGCTATACTTGACGGTGGATCTGGACTTCCAAGTGTGTTAGTGACATCATCCGAGTAAACCCGAGTGAGGATTATAAATCCTGTTTAGCTGTGACCGAGCGGGCGCATTAGGCATGAAAATGGTTGGGGTGGTTTCGATAGGATGGAATGTCACTTATACAACTCTATTGTTATGGAGATCTCCTAGGTGCATACGTGACGACACATTAGATGATTGATATGCATTGATATCTTTCATGAGATGCATTTATTGCATGATTATTAATATGATGAAGTGTGGTGTTTGACTTCATGATTGGTAGATTGTACTTTATGAATGAGTAGTATTGGATAGAGTGTATGGTGTGACTCTATGAATATGATTGATAGTTGATTGATTGTGTAGTATAGATTATTGTTCTATACTTGTATGATATATTTGTGATTCTAGCTTACCCTTCTGTTTTTCATGTGGTGGAACTGCGATGATCATACTTGGTATGGGAGCAGGTCAGGGCTAGCTTGGAGTTGAGGTGTCCGCTGTAAGACGGGGAGTTTGATCCTTGTGTTAGGGTTACCATTTTAGGTAACGATTTTGTTTGTGCTTGACCGGCACTAGGAAATATTATTTTTGGGATGATTGTACATATATGGCATTTTATTTTGTATTTAAGAAATTTAGTTATTTTATTCTTATCTATACATGTATGTGTGAGTTATCCAACTTAATATTTTCTTAGTTCACTAGTAGTAGTGCGATTCCACTAAGTGTAGAGACCATGGCGGGTCGTTACACTTTTATGGTATCAGAGCTGGTTGAGTCTTTTGGGATACTCTATGGGGAGTGATCCTTCTAGGTTTCTGTTGTGTCATATCTCTGATATGTGTTGGTTTTTAGTGATTTGTTGTGATATTACCTTATTAAAGAAAGATGTTTGAATTCCTGTAGTATGGTGAGGCCTCAGTATGACCAGATTGCTAGGGCCATAGAGATGATGGCCATGGCGATGCAACAACAGAGTGCTCACTTTGCTCAGATGAAGGCAGGTAGAGCTGCGGCTGAGGCAGCTAGAGCTGTGGCTGAGGCAGCTAGACCAGTGGTCTCTCAGGATGAGAGAGATTTAGCAGAGTTCAGGGGATGTCAGCCTCCTCAGTTCAAGGGGGATGCAGATCCTGATGTGGCAGATCAGTGGTTGAGTGAGATGGAGAAGATCTTCAGTGTTCTGGGATCTTCGGAGGAGAGGAAGTTGGCTTATGCAGTATACATGATGGGAGGCGAGGCTGAGTACTGGTGGAGAGGCACTAGGCAGATGCTAGAGAGCAGGGGTGTACTTATTGATTGGGATTGCTTCAGGAGGGTCTTTTTAGAGAAGTATTTCCCGGACAGCGTTAGATACGCTAAGGAGGCGGAGTTCATGAGACTACATCAAGGGAGCTTGTCTATTTTTGAGTATGCCATGAGGTTTGAGCATTTAGCTCGTTTCTACTCTCAGGCCATATCTGAGGCTTGGAGATGTAGGAAGTTTGCAGAGGGGTTGAGGCATGAACTGAAGAGAGTCATAGTCCCTATGTCCATAGTGGAGTTTCCTGCTTTGGTTGAGAAAGCAAAGACTGTTGAGAGATTGGAAGGTGGTGGTAGTAGTGGTAAGGCTGCTAGAGTTCAAGAGGGATCATCTGGGTCCAGGAAGGGAGGCCAGCAGAGGGGACCCTATGATAGACTTGTGCAGTCTCAAAGAGTAGCTGTTAGTAAGGGACCTCGCCCAACTACTCCTCAGGGTGGAGCACAGTCGGTGCGGTGCTACAGATGTGGAGGAGCACATGTGGGCAGAGATTGTTCCCATCCGGGGAATGTTTGCTTCAGATGTGAAATAATTATAAGGTAATAATCTTCATAAATACAAAAATAACTAATAATTATTCATAGTATTAGTAAAAAAATTCGGGATGTTACAATCCCTGTTAGTCTAAGCATCACATTAAACCCAACTAATACTATATAATTTTTTAATATATTAGTTTTTAATATTTTATTGATAACATGAAGACTAAAATGAAAATTTTAAAAATTATAAAAATTAAAAATATTATATTAAATTTGAGGGATCAAAAATAAATTCATCCTAAATTTGAGAGATTGAAAACATATTTGAGGGAGTTGCTACTGTACCCCTGATAAATGAGGGGTTTTGGTACTGTAGCTAATGTGTATATGTACACATCATCTAAATACCATGTCAAATGCCATGTCAACCTTTTAAATAAAAATTATTTTATATTTAAATTTTTACATTATTTATTTTTAAGTTTTTATTAATATTTTTATAATTATACGATCTCCTCTCCCCTCCCTCCGTCTCCCACCTCTCCCTCTCCCCTCCGTCTCCCACCTCTCCCTTGCCCCTCCGTCTCCCACTCCCCTCCCCTCCCCTCCGCCTCAACCCCTCTCCCTACTTCTTGAACTCCCTCGCCACAGCCATTTACCACTCCTCCCTCACCTCCTCCTCCGCCCTCCACTATTCCCTCCTCTCCATCGTCGACCATGACTCCTCCAAGGTTACCTTTGTCTCTAACGACATCATCGTCCTCCGCGGCACCATCGGCGTCAACCTCGGCTCCTCCGACGCCGACGCCGTCAACCAGAATCTCGTGGAGGAGACCAACCGCATCCTGGCCGAGATCCGCTCCGACGCCGACCCCAACGACCCCGACGAGCAAGCCCCCTTGAACCCTAACGTGACCTACAGCCTGGGCCCCAAGATCCGCAATTGGGACGAAGAACGCAAGGCTTGGCTCCTCCAAAACCCCGAATACCCTAATTTCGTGAGAGGTAAACCTCGCATCTTGCTCCTCACTGGTTCCCCTCCCAAGCCCTGTGATAACCCTATTGGGGACCATTACCGCTGAGAGGAAGAAACACGAAGCAAACATTTCGAAAAAAAGAGAGGAAGAAACACGAAGCAAACACTCCGAAAAAATATTAAAAAACGTGAATTTCATTATAATTGACGTGGATATTGAATTGTAAATAATTATAAAATTATAAGTGATTTGGATCACACATCATCGACACGTCATCGACAGTACCGGTACCCTTCTTTTACAGAGGGTACCGTAGAAATTCTCTAATTATAAACAAAGTAAGTTACATATGAATAAACACATTAAATATATAAAATGGTTTATCAATTTTGTCCTTTTAATTTTATGAACTTTGTCTTTTAATCTCTAATTAAAAACGAATCATTTTAATTTATATATATATATATATATATTTATTTATTTTAATTTTTATAATTTCATAAATTTATATTTATGAACATGAAACTATAAAAATCATGAGGATAATTAAACCTAATAAAATTATTATTTAAGATACTTTTAACATAAACAAAATTTAAATAATTCACTTATATGCTCGCACGTAGTTTGTACAATCATAAAGCAACAAAAGACAGAAAGATACAAAGATTTAGAACGCAAACCCAGGATACCAACAGCCACAAAAGCACTCACTTAAAATACTAGATTTGATATAAAGACTAAAGAGGATTGGAGGAATATTTGAGTGAAAGCAATAATGAAAATTTCCAGTTTTAAGAAGTACAAATGACTGTAAAAATATAAGGTCTCACACTCTCACAAACAAATTATAGGACAATGACAGAGGTTTTGGTACAACATTGCAAATGGAAACTGCAACAGATGTTTACAGAATAAAGGAAAGTAGAGACAATATTTGTCACCATTTTACAATGACCCGCCCAGATCCTAAAGTGAGATGTGGATGATGACAGAATCTTTAACTCAGCAGAAAGAATCTCGAGATTCAACTTTGTATTAAGCTTTAAAAGTTTGCTTCAGAGTCTGCATCAATATTGTAGACTACCAATGATGGCTAGAAATAAAAGGCTTTCCTACATAAATCCATAATGGAGCTAACATTGTAAGAAAACTGAAAAATACAATACATGATGGAAAAAACCAAGCAAGTAGCTATTAAGTTACTCACCTGAGCATTAATTATGTGTTCGTTTCACCGTTGATAGTTATGTATGGAATGTGAGAAATCTTAGGCCACTCTTTCTCTCCTTTGACACAACTTGCTTCTAGTAATGGACATGTCCAGATGGTGAACTTTGAAAGAGAAGAAGGCAATCCCTCTTCAGGTAAGGATTCAAGTTGTTGAGCATTTTCAATATGAAGCTCTTTAAGAGAGGTGAGATGCTGAAGCCACTTCCCATCCAAGCTTTTTATATCACAAAGATTATATATCTCTAACCGCACAAGAGAAGTGGGCAGCAATGACATTTTCATCTTCATGAGCACATTCAAAACTTCACCTTCAATATACAACTTTGAAAGACAAGTTAGCCTCTGCAAACCCCAGTCGCGGATAATTGTTGTCAAGAAACTCCCCCCAAGTCTACCGACTTCTAATTGCCGTAGCTTGATAGGCAAACCGTCTTTTGCGAAAGACTCGAGATTTGGGAGACCATTGATTATCAAACGTTGAAGGGAATTAAGAGTGTTAATTTGTAGCTGGAGTGATTTAAGCTTACCACAGTTGGACACCATCAAATCAATGAGGTTAGGAGTGGGCAATCCGCCCTCGGGAAGTGAGTCGAGTTCAGGACAATCCTCTATGACCAAATGTCGAAGAAGTGAAAGACTCTGGGAAGCATTTTCTGCAAAAGAAATGGATTTCAAATTCTTACAACCAGAAATCTCAAGATTTTCGAGCACAGGGAGACAACCTAAGGTGAAGGAAGTCAGTGAATAACAGCTTCTATGCATTTCCAAATTCTTAAGTGAAGTGTAATTGTGCAAGGAATCATGAGGTAAGAATTCCAATTTCTCACAATCATGTAAAGTGAGAGATTGCAATGTTGTGGGCAGACCATCTCTTAAGGATGCTGGGGAGGTAATGTTTGAGATAGTTAAGTCTACCATGCAGTTGGTGGACTCGAGAAAAATTGAGGAAAGGGAATTGGTTGATAAGTTTTCTCGGAGTTGGGGACAGACCATTGGAACCAATAGAGGACAATCGGATAATTCAAAACTAATTGAAGGAAGATTGTTGGGTAAGGTTCCTTTAAGTTTGGGACAATCATTGAGAAATAGTTTTGATAGCCTTGGAAACTCTATAGTAGTACCTCCAATCAAGTTCCATTCCTCCCACTCTGGCATTCTTCGAAAGCTTAGGGTCTCCAAGGAGGGAAATGGTTGAAATGAAGTTGAATTACTTCCATAGAATTCAGTACCAACAGTCTTCACTGATTTCATCCCACAAATGTAGAGTCTTTTGAGACTAACCAATCGTCCAAGGGGAGGCAATGACCAACAATAATAACAATGCATGATGCACAATGACACCATGTTACCAAATGAAGAATCACCCAACCAATTAGGGAAGCTGCTTCCACCATAGAATCTGATGCTCAGTTCCTTCAAATTTATTGGTGGCTGTAGCTGTTCAAGTACAAGCCTCTCAATTTGCGTGTTTTCAGTCATACCGCAATCCCATTCTAATGCTAAAGAATCTATTTGATCTTTCTTCTTCAAATTGGCTTGGGCAGCTTCAGAGGGGTCAGTAACATTTTGTAACTTTAAAATGGAAAGTTGTCCTCGTAGACGGGAGAAGTTTTTCAGCTCTCTAACCGTCAATCCATCTGGCGTTTTGCTGATGACAAAGTCAGATAGGGTATGAAGATTTTGTAGTGTGGCTATTTGTATAGGCATCTTCTTCAAATTAGTCCCTCTGATGTTTAGGTGTTGTAGATTTACCAAATTTCCAATGTCCTCAGGCAATTCAGTGAGTAACTGACAATAGGATAACAACAAGGTCTGCATATTGTAGAGTTTGCATGTTGCATCTGGCAATCTCTGAATTTTAGTGTAAGAAAGATCTAAGTATCGCAGGTAAATTAAATTTCCAATGTCCTCGGGCAATTTAGTGAGTAACCTACAATTGGACAACAACAAGGTTTGCATATTATAGAGCTTGTATGTTGCGTCTGGCAATTTCTGAATTTTAGTGCGAGATAGATCTAAGTATCGCAAGTAAATTAGATTTCCAAGAGAATCAGGCAATTCAGTGATATGGGCATGCCTTGACCAGGACAACACCCTTAACTGTTTCATTACTGGTAAAAAGTCATGTACTACCTTGTTTGATAGATGAAGATCATAAAGATTAGATAATGCTATGAACGTACGCAGACCTTTTGATCCATAAGGGAAATCAAATTTATTGAAACCCTTATTGTATGAAAAGTGACGAACACTTTCAAAGCTTGCATGTGAAATTGGTTCCTCAGACCTGAGACAATATGAAGATGAAATCATTGTGGCTAAATCATTGATGAGGTCATGCATTTCAAAGATTGCTTGTCCCGAACGTGACCCTCGATGTATTAGTGACCTTGATACTAGTTCATCGAAGTATTCATCACCTATTTCTTCTATAGTTTTGTCACTTTTGGACTGACAAACCAAGCCTTCGGCAATCCATAGCCGAACTACCATATCTTTTTCTAACCTATAGTTCTTTGGAAATATAGATAGGTAAGTGAAGCATCGTTTTAAAGGAGCAGGAAGATAATGATAGCTCAATAGTAGAGCTGGTAGCACCTTAACATTTGGCAAATCCCAAACGTTACTTTTTAATACCTTGTTCCAATAATTTTCTGATAAATTGGTGCGAAGAAGACCCCCGAGTGCCACTGCAGCTAATGGTAAGCCATCACATTGTTTTGAAATTTCTTTACCAATTAATTCTAGGTTGGATTGTTTGCTGCAATTATTTGCTCCAAATGCATGCTTAGAAAGTAAAGACCAACAATCATCACTAGGAAGAGGTGTGAGACGGTAGATAGGCAAATATGTTTGCATGGCTTTTGCAACACTCTTATCTCGTGTTGTGATGATAATTTTACTCCCCATTTCTCCAGCCCTAAAAATGTCCATTAGATTGTTCCAGTCAACATAGCTTCCATCCCATATGTCATCCAATACAATCAAAAATCTTTTATGACTCAAGCTCTCTTTCAGTTTCTCTTGGAAAATATTCAAATTATCTGTATCGATGGATTTGTAAGTGACAGATTCAAGAATGGTTTTAGTAACCCTGCAAACATCAAAATCCTTTGAAATATAAGCCCATGCTTTCAGATCAAATTTCTCTTGTACATCTAAATCATTGTAAAGGAGTTTAGCAAGTGTAGTTTTGCCAAGCCCTCCCATGCCCACTATGGAAACCACTCCTATTTTAGAACCACCAGCATCCTCAGACATCAAATATTTCTTAAGTTCCTTTCTGTCACCATCTCGGCCAGAAATAGTAGATTCATCAACCACAGAACTTGTAGGAGTTCCATGCCAAACACTGCTTGAAACACCTTCTTTCAGCTGAAGGATGTCTTTTTGCAGTGCTAAGTGCTCTAATCTTTGAAACAAGTCTTGTATTTTAGAATTGATAACTTTTTGAAACTTGTTGAAAGGAGAAGAAAGGAAGTTGAGGACCTGATGAGTAGTGGATTGAGTCGGAGAGTTGGCTTCCAGTTTGCATCGCAAAGCCTCAGTGTTGATTTGATCAAGCAAATCTTCAGCATCAAAGAAAGCTTGTTTGAGAGCATGGAGCCATTTCTTGACTGGAGGGTTGGTGAATTGTTTCTCTTCAGCATCATTGAGTAAAGCTTCAACACTCAGCAGTGTTATTCTAAGCTTTTCGAGGAGTGAAGTGTCAGGCTTCTTACTACGAAACAAGTCATGGGAAACGATCCTGTCCAAGAGCACCTCCACAGCAGCTGAAAGCAAAGCTTCTCCCACAAGAGCCATAGCAACGATGCACAGCAAGTCAACAATAAAAGCAGTGTGGAACAAACAAGTGTATGTTTCTTTATAACTTATAATGCAAGCTGCTAACCATGGTTACCGGTTAATAGTTAGTATACAATTATTAATTAAGACCATTAACTTTTCCCACACAGCAGCAGGTCTATGGATGTAAATATTTTATCCTTTGGACAAGGTGAGAAAATTAATATTTTACTATTTTATTACTCTATTCACATTGTCTGTTCTTATTTGTTTGTTGTTTTCAAAGTTGAACGTTAATTATTGTTTTAAAATTATGTCATGACATTTTTACACACACCATTTTATAGTATTTGCTGTTTTAACATATAAAAAGTTCTAAAATGACTTCTCAATTTTCAATTAGTATTACTTTTTTTTTTCATTTGCTTCATTATCATAATTAAAATAATATATTTAGGAATATATATTTATTGAGAAAGAAAGATGTATCAAAGAGGTCTCGGGGATCCATAATATGTCAATTTCCAATTGTAAAAGTGTTTGAAGTTCAATGTGTATGCAGTTACTGACATTAAAACTACCAAGATGTATACTCGAAGATGTTAAAAAATTATCTTATAATTTAAAATTTAATTTAAATATTTAATTTAATTAATCTTTGTTTTATTTAATATTTGTAATTTGCAAAAAATCAAAAAATTGTTATGGCCTTCTTCATTTTGACCAAACCTGCAGTTAGTTAGTAAAGTGCACCACGTACACTTTTAGTGTTACCGAAAAGCTAGCCAAAATATAGTGCACATCCACACACAACGTACACCTTTTGTTACCGAAAAAACTTGCATGGGAGGGCACATTCTTTGTCTAAAAATATATTGTGCTTATATATACAGACCCTAATATGTGAAAAAGATAAGAAAAATACATAGCTCATTTTTATCTCTTCCTCAATATTTTTTCTACTATAAAATTATAATTTTGGAGCGATGTTCTTTGGTTCGGGGATCTTTCGCTGCACTCGAACGGTCTAACGGGTTAACGTATCTTGGAAGAGGAGCGCACTATAAGACTCTAAATTACCAGTGCAGTGGGGGCGTTTTCTCTCTAAAGATAGCGTTCTGCGTGCTTCAACTCAGGCTACTCTAAACTTATTATTTAATATTCTAAGTTGCTCTTTGTGTTTAATTAGTTGTTACTGATTGTTCTGTTCTAATTTTATAATATTCATTGTGTTATTGATATTGGTTTTATTGGAAAATCTAAATATATTTTTTTTTTGTGTTCTTTAAATTTATATTTCTAACAATCTTAGAGAGAAAAAGCCTTTTCTTTTCTTGTTCAATATCAACATGTCTACAATGACCATTTTAAATTCTTTGAGTAGTAAGCCAGAAAATTTAATGGTGAAAATTTTTTATGTTGGCAACAACAGATGAAATTTTGGCTTATAGAGTTGAGTTTATTTTCTATTATTTTAAATGGAAAATCTGAAAATTGTCCTGATTGTGCCTTGTTTGAGGCTGGTTCTTCTAGTGATAAAGATATTTTGTGTCATGGTCATATTTTGAGTGCTCTATCTGATAATATTTATAAAATATTTTGTCATACAAAAACTGCTTTGGAGTTATGAGACGCTCTTGAACTAAAGTATGGTGCTGAAAATGGTTTAAGAAAATACTCTTGTAAAAGAATGATTTATTTTCAAATGGAAGATGGAAAACCTTTCTCTGACCAAGTTCATGAATTTGAAAATATTATTTATGATATGAAAATGAAAGAAATTACTTTGCCTGACATAATGTTTGTTAGTTCGTTAATTTCTAAATTGCCTCTTTCTTGGTTTGAATTTGCAAGAAGCCTTAAGCATAAACCCGATCATTTCAATTTATCTGATTTATTGGTTACCTTGCGAATTGAAGATAAACATCGTATTTCACAAAAGGATTCTAATAAAACTCCTTTTCAGGCTAAGGCTCATTTAGTGGAAAAGCTAATAAGCCTAAACAAAAAAATTTTCAAAAAATATGGTTTTTCCAATAATAATAAATTTGGTCAAAGCTCTCATTTCTCTAAAAATAAAAACAAAGCTTTTAATAACAACTACAAACCAAAGAGTAAAATTCAAGGAAATGAGTCCTTTTGCTTTGTTTGTGGAAGAAACAATCATTTTGCTAAAGATTGTTTTCATCGTCGTCGTCAACCAAAAGACATTACATCTGATCCCAAATCTTCGTCTCAGCCTCAAGCTAATGTTATTACCGCTAATGCTAGCTCGGATTCCCCATCTAACAGGTATCATGTCACTAGCCCAGAGTTAAATTTTATTTATAACTCAAATGATTGGTGGATTGACTCTGGAGCTAATGTTCATGTGTGTGCTGATAAAAAATTATTTTCTTCATATCAGGAATGTGGCACACGTACTGTAAGCATGGGGAATGGGAGCCTAGCGCGCGTCATTGGTCTAGGCCGAGTAGAATTAGAATTATCTTCTGGAAATTGTCTTGTTTTAGATGAAGTTTTTCATGTTTCTGAAATTAGAAAAAATTTGATTAGTGCTGCTTTGTTAGTTCAACAAGGTTTTAAAGTTGTTTTTGAATCCAATAGAGTTGTAATTTCTCGACATGGTTCTTTTGTTGGGAAAGGATATATTTGTGATGGTTTATTTAAACTTAGTATCATGTCTTCCTTTATTAATAAAAATTCTAGCATTTCTTCATCTTCTATTTCAAATGTTGAATGTTGTGATATTTGGCATGGTAGACTTGGACATGTTAACTTGAATTCTATTAAAAGAATGATGACACTTGATCTTATTCCTAAATCTTTTAATGAATTGAAACAAAAATGTGAAGTTTGTGTTCAAGCCAAACAACCTAGAAAATCTTTTCAAAATTCTATCCAAAAGGAAACTTGTGTGCTTGAACTCATTCATAGTGATATATGTGATAGTAATGGTGTTATTACTCGTGGTGGAAAGAAATACTTTATTACCTTCATTAATGACTTTTCAAAATATTGCTATGTATACTTGATTATTCATAAAAGTGAGTTATTTGAAAAATTCAAGGTTTATAAAGCAGAAGTTGAAAATCAATTAGAAAGGAGTATTAAAATTCTTCATTCTGATAGAGGAGGGGAATATTCTTCTAATGAAATGGGTGAATTTTTTTGAAACACATGGCATAATTCATGAAGTCACTCCTCCCTATGGTCCTCAATCTAATGGAATTGCTAAAAGAAAAAATCGTACTTTATTAGACATGATAAACGCTATGCTTATAAGTTCTAGTTTGCCTGATAATTTGTGGGGGAAGCTTTGTTTACTGCATGTCACATTTTGAATAGAATTCTTTATAAAAATATCGATAAACCCTTATGAACTTTGGAAAAATAGAAAACCAAATTTGAAATATCTCAAAGTGTGGGGTGTCTTGTGAATACCTAAAGGACTTTGATTTCTAGTTGATGTATTATCTTGGGAAGGCGAGTGTGGTAACAGATGTATTGAGTAGGAAATCCATTCATGTGTCAGTTATGTTGATTAGGGAGTTGGAGCTGATTGAGTAGTTCAGAGATTTGAGACTAGAGGTGGAGGTTGTTGAAGATCAAATTTGTTGTGGTATGATCACCATAACTAATGAGTTCTTGAGACAGGTGGGAATTAAGCAATTATAGAATCCAAAGTTGTTGAGGATTTTGGGATTGCGTTGTACCGAGAGGGCAGCTGGTTTTGAGCTTAATGTTGATGGAGATTCTCGAGTGGAAGTGTGATAGTGTCACTAAGGACTTTGTGGTTGGGTTGCCTAGGACAGCTAGGAACAGTGACTCTATCTGGGTGATTGTTGATAAGTTGACAAAGTGTGCGCACTTTCTTCCTATCAACAAGAGGTGGTCTTTGGAGAGGCTTGCACAGTTGTATATTAGAGAGATAGTACGGTTGCATGGAGTGTCTTCTAGTATTATCTCTGACAGAGATCCAAGGTTTACTTCCAGGTTGGCAGACTCTGCATCAGGCTTTGGGGACAAGGTTGAGGTTGAGCTCCGTTTAACATCCATAGACAGATGGTCAGTCGGAGAGGACAATTCAGTCAATGGAGGATCTCTTGAGAGCTTGTATGTTGGATCATCTGGGTAGCTGGAAGGAGGTGTTACCATTGGTAAAGTTTACTTATAATAACAGTTATCATTTGAGTATTAGCATGGCTCCTTTTGAGGCTTTATATGGTAGGAGGTGTAGGACTCCATTATGTTGGTATCAGGAGGGTGAGTCAATAGTGGTTGGTCCAGAGTTAGTTCTTTAAACTATTGAGATGGTGAGATCGATTCAGGAAAGGTTGAGGGCTACCTAGAGTTAATGAAAGTCCTATGTTGATAGGAGGAGGAGACCTCTAGAATTTGAAGAGGGAGAGCATGTGTTTCACGTTTCACAGTTGAGGAACTACATACATCAGAGACCCGAGTCATGTGGTAGAGTTGGATGAGGTGCAAGTTAGAGAGAACTTGACCTATGAGAAGAGACTGGTAGTTGTGGTTGATCACAAGTTGAAGAAGCTTCGTGGCAAGTCCATCAGCTTGATGAGGATTGTTTGGGATGCAACTACTAGTGAGGTTACCTGGGAGGTGGAGAGTTAGTTCACGGAACAGTACCCATTCCTCTTTTCAGGTATACCTATTTTCGGGGACGAAAATTCCTGTTTGTTGGGGAGTATTGTAACATAGTTAAAAAAAAACTGATTCAGTAGCCCAGAACGGGCCGTTCCCAAACTGGAACGGGCCGTTCCAAACTACTGAATTGAACTATACAATGCAGTTGAGAACGGGCCATTCTGGGAAGGAGAAAGGGCCGTTCTGGAAGGAGAACGAGTTGTTCCGGAGGGAGAACGGGCCGTTCCGGAGGGAGAACGGGCCGTTCTGGGGCAATCCGAAAGTCTATAAATAGGGGTTGGGGGCCTTCAGGAAAATGTAAGTTTTTAGAGAGAAGTTTTAGAGAGAAGGTCTCTGGGTCAGTGAGCTCCTTTCTCTCCCAAATTTCTCTGTTTGACTCCTTTTCTCCTCTAGATCACTAACTCTTTCTGACGAGGGTTATTCCCTTAACC